GAGAGAGAGAGAGAAAATACAAAGCCTCGTACCTGCAACTTCATTTAAACAATGTCAACCCTAAACTATATTTTTGTTTAGTTTATATTCTTCAAATTCCCAGTCAAAATTTTCCATCTCCTGCGTGTCTCCAGTGATTTTCCCTTCTCCTTCTTGCTCTTATTTCTTTCCCACTCTGCCTCACTCTCTTTGTCTTTACCTCCCTCCCTTATCTCCTCTTGTCTTTCTGGCAGGAACAGTGGTTTTATTATCCAACGTCACCTCTGCCAGGTTGGGTCAGATACTGCAGTGGAGCTTTCTTCACTTGGCACTTAACATAGGGAGAGGGAGGAAAAACAGATACACAGCTGAGGGAAGTAGAGGGAGTGACACGCAGGTGGAGAGTTTATCCCTCTGCTGCACAATCTGTAGGTGTGAAGGTTCAGGCTTCCAGCCCAGCAAATTGTGTAAAATATTTGTGTTTATGCGTGATTGTGTCTGCATAGATGAAGTGTGTCTGAGTAGTGTTTGCTGCAGCTCCACTTGATGAACGATGCGTCACTGTGGCTGTGGGCTTTCTGGGAAGAAATGGTTGACCAGACACAGCACGCCAATGCAAGAATGCCAGGCCTGGTCTCTACCGCCGGCTCGGAGGAGCCACAATCGATCCTGACAGCTCAGTGTGTCACCAGGTCACGCTGCCACACTGTGGAAAAAAAACCTAAAAAACTAATTTCAATCAACTAAAGTGCACTTTTCTCTTTTAACCATTTTAAGGAGCAGAAGATTGGAATAAGAATACCTGTTCTGCTTTGTTCTTTCTGTCAATCCAGGTGCATTCTTAGTAGTCCATTACCTCAAGTTTATTTTGTACTTTCTGCTACAGCTACAAAGATTATGCCATCCTAACCAGATGACTGTCTGATTTAGTTGCTTTAGACATTCCTTCTGTGCCTTCTTCCCATCGGATGCAGTCGGGCAGCAAGAAAAATACTCCCCATCTGCACTGAGTAAATGGATGACCACAACTCTTACAACTGTTTCACTTCACAATATCTGCCAGACCAGTCTTTGTTTCGAAATCTAAAAAGTCTTTTATAGCTTAATAATTAAAAAATAATAAGCAGCATATTTGGTATGCTGTAGAGATCATGTCGGTCTAGGGGCTTGGGAATATTTTGGTTTCCTACCAGAGGATCTGTAAGAAAAGGCTACAGTAAGGCAAGTCTACGCATTTTGCTTTGAATGCTGCCTCTGCAACCCAGACCTGGACCCATGAATACATGGATGGATGAAGAATAAGAAAAATTAAAGTTCACAGTTCTCTAAATGCAGCTTATTTGCTCATATTTAAAGATGCATTGATAGACGTCAGTATTTTGCAGATTGCTGTCAGCTGAGGTTTATTTTCTTATCCTTTCCAATTCACATGCACAATCCAAGCATGTTTTTGTGCTCACTATATTTTTACATATTTCAACAACATATCAACTTTTAAGGTCCCAGTATAACTACCGCAATGGTCGCTTCGATCGTCTCACGGTCACCAAATCAAGATTTGCATTCCATGGCCGACGCGCCAAGATCGACACATGCATGAGGTGATGTCAAAATCAGCGAGCATAATGGTCTCACTAGCAATAAATCAGGAAATAAAAATGAAAAAAAAAAAACAAAACTCCAGATATGTGCCAATAAAATATTTTGCAGCATTTTAAGTTTTTACACCTGAATGACCTCAAAAACTCCGGTCACCGTTCATCTTCAGCGAGTGTACGCTGTCAGCCCACTGTGAGCTGTCTATATACCAGATGTCCACATCTACTTATTCTAGAAGAGGCTGTAAAACTTTGTGAATGGAGTCCAGTATGAGACGATGAATCAGTGAAGCTCATTTATATCCGATGACAGGGATACTCAGGTGAGTTGTTGATATCTTTAACTTTTCTGTCAGCAAGTGCTGCTGTTTATGCCACTATTAGCCTCTGCTAGCTAAATGTTCCTTGAAGTGGATGTGACATTTGTGGACTGTTTATCATGCTCGAGTCTAACATTAGCTGGCATAACGTTAGCTTATAACCAGCTGTTGTTCTTGTTTAACTGGCTTAATATCAACTGTCCCGAGACAGAAGGGTTGCATGTCTAATCTGGTGACAGTACGCAACTGCAATAATCTTATATATATGTATCTGGCTGATCTCTACTGCACACATATAACAAGATTTGGCAGAAATACCACGTCCATCTCGCTCACCTTATTCAAGATAGAGGAGCAACATGCAAACTTCCACAAACCCACTCATATGTATTTTGAACTAATTAATTACTCAGGTTGGTGATATTGGATCGGGTTTCTGGAAGGTGTAATTACACAATATTCAATATATATATTTGAGTACAGCATTTTCTCTCATAATTAACCTTAAAAATTATTGACTGTACCTTTAATATTTCATATTTAAAAAAAATAATTACAGCCATTATGTATTGAAACTTTAAACTCATGAGAGAAATATTAAAGAAAGCAGAAACTGAGTCAATATTTAGACTTTGAGAACAAGCTAGTTTTGGGAAACTTATCAGAATGCAATACAGCAGCATAGAAATCACAGAATGTTTTGGCCCTCGTATATAAATGCTGGTTTTGTTGTGCTCCTGTTCCCTTATTTCCATCTATGTTCCCTTTTCACTGTCCTACTGTTGAATGTCAGGCTACAGTGTTACATTTAATTACATCCCATTTTGCTTTTTTCTTGTCTTTTTGAGGTTTTTACCTCGTGCCCCCCACCTGTGTTTATTTGTCAGTGGCTTCCTATTTTGAGTTAATTAGGCTGCTGAACATATTGGTCTTTTTTTAAAAAATAAAGAAATAAATCCACCTTTACTTTTTTTCTATTAAGCGTCTCCATTGCTTGGGTCTTCCTTTGTTAGAGGAGACCTCCAACTCTAAGGTATTCACATTTCATTGCATAATCTCACAAGATGTCACTGTTTATGATACAAGAGTCGAAACATCTTTTATCATCATTTATCATAGGTGTCATTCCATTACCTTTATGTAAGTTATTACATTAAGACATTATGCACCAGTGTTTCCACTGTGTTTGTCATTTTAATTACACACATCAAACAAGCAGCAGCCGACTGTTTAGTTGACAGTAACTAGACGGCTGTCACCTTCAGCCATTACAGCCAGCTGGGATATGCTGCTCTGGGTTTTTGTTTTGATTTGATCTTGCTCCTGAAGTGTGTTGCGATTATAGTTACAGCCAGTGAGGGTAACCTAGAGGAATACCAGCATTTTACAGGCAAAACTGGCTTTATGAAAACAAAACAATATTAATATTTTTTATTTGAGCTTTGAGTCAGAGCACTATAAAGCTGCAAAAAATGAAATGAAAGTAGGGATTTCTGTTTGGAAGGAGCTATAAATTCACTACAAAAAGCCTGTGGTTAATATCATTGATTTATAATCAGTGGTATACCGCTTTTAGATAAATTTCAGACTCCAACCCTCCCTCCCCCCACCCTCCTCATCTGACTTTCTGACCTCGACCTACTGCCCTGCTGCCCTCCTGCAGACCTGATGGAAAATCTCTCTAAATGCCCTAAACTTGGACCTTTTAGCAGTTTGTAAGAAGTCACATGAAGCAGGATTGTCACACCTGATTTGATTCTTGAAGCTAAACTCAAAGATGTCCTTACATTATGGTGGTTGTCAAAGGGGGCGGGTGGGGGTGTATCTGTGCTGAGCAGCATCAGAAGGTGAAGCAGCCAGATTAAACCTCAGAATAGCAGCTCAGTGTCCCTAGAATAGAGCTCATCTTCCTCCGAGACTAACAGCTCATTACCACAGGAATGCCTCCAAGGACCCACCCCAACCACCTCACCCTGCCTTCATCACCAAACCCCCACCCAACAAAATGACCTGTTGTTGGGTGGAGCATCCGCATTGTGACGTGTTTCTGTATGAATACACCTCCACCTCCCCTTCACCACTATTATCAGTAATCTTAAGTAACTCCCGTTCCTCCTACTTTTGTATTCCGCCTTTCTCTCTATAAGGATAGCTGCCACCCTTATCTCAGACACATGACTCTTCTGTCTTTCACCAGAATCCCCGACAACCACACACACACACACACACACTCCCCTCCTTTGCCTCCGCTCCCCTCTGTCCCTTTGCAGGGTGGCTCTTGTCGACACCTTTCCTGATTTGGAAGCTTTTGATGAGAATTCCCCACCTCAATCTCTTCTGTTTCCCTACTTAACCCTCCCAGGGGCTCCTTAGATCTGCACACACTGACGCAGACACACACAAAAACGACTGGATCATGCCCAGTGCGTTGGCACATACTGGAACATGAGCGTGCACACACACTTCGTTATAGCCTTAATGAGGTCTCATCATGTCTTTTACTCTCTCTCTCTCTCTCTCTGTCCTCTTCCCTCTCCCTCTTCTCTTAGCCCAGTGTCATAATTTTTATTCTGCTGCTCTACTGAGATGTCAAATTAAAACATTAGCTGAGACAACCATTTAAGCTCCTGAAAGACTTTAAATTAACATAACAAACTGGGTACTCTTTTGTCAGACTCACAGACTT